CGGTCCACTCGTACCCGTGGAGAGCCTGCATCATGGTATAGAGAGATCCAAATACCAAACGGCATGGCGTGGTATCAAAGGCATTTCTGCAGCCCAAAGGTCAGCTGATGGTAAAAGGTTGCCGAGGAACGGAGCTTTCATCAGTGGGAGGCAGCTGGACTCTCCAAAGAGCTGCAGCTACTCAGGGCTACGGGCACAGTGGGGCTGCTCCACTATGACATTTCACATCCAGATCGGACACTATAATGGCATTTCAGACACTTTTCAAGCAGCCAGATTGGCCTTCCCCCACTGCTGAAATTTTTATAGAAGGCACTTTTTTCATTGTTTGGGTTTATTACAGTGTCTGAGGGAGATCAAATGGATTGTGTGTGGAGAAGGAGCCACATTTGGGGACTGATGTGGAATTGATTGCAAATAGACATGTGCACTACTATATGGCAGCAGAAGCACACCTATTTGGTTTAATCTATACTGATCTATATTCAGTTTGCTGGTCCATCTTTTTTTAAGGGCTGGCACTAATGTTGTCTATATTATATTTATATTGAAGTTGATGTTGCCAACTAACCTAATCTTGTATACTACGGCAACTGACCTACACTACTGCAGAGTGTGTAGCAAATATATTCAAATTGACACTTGATTCAAACTGAATATTTTGAGAATTAACATAGTACTGTTTTTCTACATAGCTCAACATAAGAAAGCATCCAACATGGGGAACATGTTGTGAAGTGAAGCGTGCTATATCCACGCCGCTGGGAGATCATTTTGTACAACTCTTATCACAATTATTTATTTCTATAAGCCACTCGTGCGGGACAACTTCTTATTTCTTTTTTCCACAAGGAAATGGTCAGTGTGGTTCTCTTTGAAGTCCCAACTCAAATGATTTGTCCCATTTGCTCCGAGGAATTGCATTTGCTGACATAGTATTGCTATTAAGTGCTATGTGCTACACTGGAGTATTCAGGCTTGCTTAGATTAAAGGGAAACCAAATGCACTGATGCTGTCTGATAACCGCAACATCATTTCAAAAAGTGTAAGGAATAAATATTTATATGCAAAGTGTTCCAGAGCAAAAAGAAATGCTAATTTTAAGCGATCATCCCTGCGGGTAATGTACAAGTTACATGCTGATCGTGGCTCCACAGAGGGTCGCAAATGTTGTTTTTGTCGTCTTGGTTTTTCATCTTGGTGTGAAAACTCTTGCAGTTGGACCAGGAGCATCATTGTGCACTTATGGGAAGATGGAGTGCTGCAAAAATCAGTAGAATGGCCTAATTGCGGCTGTTGAAATTGACAAACTCTATGCAATTATAGAGCAAATGTGAAACAGTAATATAGTATTTGGGAAGAAGTCCATTGTAGTGATTTGATAGCGGTGTGCTTGGGCCTTAATTATCAGACAGGATATTGAAGAGAAAGCCCTGAGATCCATGGTGAGGGGTCATTATTACATGTGACCTTTGAGCGAGAGCAGGCTCTGCAGTGTGCTGCCGCAGCTCCTCCTTTGATTAGAGAGATAATGTGGGTTTGGACGGGGCCATCACAAGACTTTGACATTCTTTAACAGCCTTTCAAATGTGATGTGACCTCTGTGTTTGTGTGTGAAGGACTCAAACCACTGTGGGAATAAAAACATTGTCTTTCATTTCATGTGAATGTGAAAAATCCTAAAGTAACTCAAAGATATATTGACATAACTGTGCTAATGAGATATCTAAATCAATTGAATTGCATGAAAATATTTTGATGAAGATGTACTGATAGTGGCACCAAGTGGCTATAATCCTGGAAGGACCAGGTATCAGTTCCTGAATATCAGTTGAGGGTAATAGGTCAATGGTTAAAAATGTAGCTCCATAATTACTTGATGCTCAATTATTAACAATTTTTATTTCATTAAAAGAAAATCTGTATGTTGCCATTATCAATTGAATGTGTTACAAGGCTACTTAAAAAGGTTGTATTAATATAAAAACTGAAAAAGCAATGCATCTCTCCATTTTAGCATGATGAATCCTACAGTGATATAGTACGGAGAATGAATAGATTCTAGTTATAAATCAGAGCAACAAAAGATCAGTCTTCTATGTTGACACTATTGAATGTGTAGGCTACTTACTGTTAAGAAATACTATACAGTTATAGTAGGTGTTAAACATGATTTAATGCCAAGGTGCAAAAAGAACATTGCACAATTTTTCTCCCTTTTGAGTTTTATATCAGGTATGTCCATTATATTGTTTACATTTTAAATAATTATTGAAATCGACTTTATTGACTCGTGTATGCACTTTGCACTTTTTTGCACAAATGGCTCTGAAGGACATAAAGAAACTTAATAGTGGACCACATTCTTACATACAGGTAGGTTATATTTAAACTCCAAAACACATACAGAGCAGTGTATTCCTGCCTCTTGTGATTTACATTTAGTGTCGGAATAATGCAATGACATGGAGCAGGGGGAATTCTTCACTTAATGAGAGCCTATAAGCAGTTTGCCAGAGCCATCTCCGACATAGCCCGCTGTCAAAATGTCAATGAATCTCAATTTAACTGCTAACTTAATCACACAGGGACCATCTCGTGTTGGCGGTCTCACTTGGTTTTCTTAGTATTAATAAATATTTATAGGAAGTAAGTAGAGGAGTATTACAGGTGCATGGTTTGTGTTATTGATTTTAATTTAGAAGATAGATCGGATGTTCTTAAGCACTCCGCTATGGAAATTTCAATGTAGAGAGGTGGTTATTGTTTATCATTATTAACACAAGTCATTAAGGTCTTGGCACAGGCAATAGCGGCTTTCATTTTCAGAGCAATCATTCAGAGACAAATCCAATTCAGCTTATATTATTAGATTATTTTTCAATGCAAAATGGTATTCTCCTTTCAATATTCCATCCTTGGCCTTTCCTGCAGTTTAAAATTATTTCTGTTGCTTGTCTATCAGGAGTAACCATGGCGATTGGTTTCAAAACAGCTAACCAACAGTTGCATGTGCCTGTCTTATCACCCCATTTTTTGTATGCATTCTCTCTTCCTCCTCTCTACTCCCATTTTATATACTTATAATGATTTATTCTGATTATTTACAAGACCAATAAAGGATATTATTAAACTTTCGTATTTCTATAAGCTTTGGTTTGTCCATGCAAGTCCAAATTATAGACACTTTTTGAACTATACAATGTTAAAACAACTTTCAGGTTCCACGGGGACACATACAAATTGATGTCATACACATTCTGTTTAGAATCAAAAAACACAAATAAGTAATTTTTCTCTGGCTTCTTCCTTCGTGGGCAGCCAACTTCCCCGCAATCTATAATGGAGTAGATATTGCAGTGCGTATTGATTGATGTCTCCTTCCCCCCACTTTGACATTTGCTTATCCTCGTCCGCATCTACTGCTATTGACGAGGGCTCTATCTGGACATCTTCCTAAGCTGTTTTGTCATTTGTCACCTCTTAAATAAAAACCGCAAAGGGGGGTGTTGTCAGTGATAAGACTTAATGATAGCAACCACAATGCTTTCATACAAGTGTTGGGCGAGTACACTTTGACATGAGCTTCATTTTGTCACCACTTATGCAATATCACCTGCTGTATTCCTGATCCCTAATAAGCAAGCAGACGCCATCCTGCATTTACTCATAAAAGTGGCCAATTTAGTGCAAATCTATTGAAAGCTGGTCTTTTGGTTTAACACATTTTAAAGTAATGCATTTAATAAGCCCACTCTGCCGCTTCTCTGTCAAAAGCTACTATTTTCCCCTCAACTCTTGGATACGAATTGGTGAGATCAACACATCCCAACGAAAGCTGCTAAATGCGCCGTGTGAGTTTTCAGCTTTTTGACTTTGCCAACTCTGTATTTGTAGTACAGTGCGAGCGGCGTTGCTTTTACATTGGTACAATGCAGATTTTCTCCCCATGAGGTGGAAGACACATCCTTCCTCTCCAACCTCCCTTTTCCATCCGTCCCTCCCTCAGCTTGGCTCCTGCAGAGAGGCTATTATTGCAGCTAATTATCTACAAATAGGCCCAATATGACAAACAGGGCCTTGCACCAGCACTAGCTTAGCGTAGGAATACGCCGCAAAGGCAAACAAAGCACAGGACAAAAGTCACGGTGGAAATACAAAAGGAAATTTGAATCATAGATAATTGAGAAGAATGTGATAGAGACACAATGTGACCAGGATGAAAGAAAAAAATCATCTAAAAAAGATATAAGTGGGAGGCAGATGGGTGAAGAATGAAAGAATGGGCAAAGTGACACTAAAAGGGAGACATCATACCAGGGAAAATGATCTCGTCTATACCGTGTGTGTGTCTGCTTGTTGCTACTGGCAACTGTCCTGCGATGCACAGGCCACATCCATTTAGCTCCCAGCATGCCTCATGATCAGGGCAGCTCAGGGGTCTAAGACTGTCTGTCTCATTTCCATAGAGGAGCTCATTTAGCAGACGAGCGTGGATGCATCAATGGGCGCTTGATTAGATCCTTACCTCAGATATATATGAATATTTATCAGTGTTGAACGAATCCACGCTCACTCCGCTTTCATCTGCAGTATCCCGAGTGTCCTCCTGCTCTGCTCTTAATTTCTGACAATGAATATGTCAAAGGAGCATCAGTGTTCCCCCGCAAAGAGACAGCACTCAAGGTAATCTAGTTATTGTGGCTCTGCAGCATGATCCACTTTAAGTTTCGCTAAATTCGCGCGGCTTTTGTCTTGTTATGTTTTATTCGCCATGGTGACAACAACAGCACTCAGGGACCTAAAGGAAATGAATGCGGGTAATGAAAGCGACGTGCTCAAAAGGATGTGTGTTTGAATTCATTGCGTCTGAAGATTAGCGCGCGACGGGAGCTGCAGGTGGATGCCAAATGGCGGAGTTATTCGCGTCCCGTCGGGCCCCAAAGACAACACAATCACACCCACGCATGCGTCCCGAAACTGGGATTGGGTAACTTACGTCGCTCACTCCGGCCTCCACTATCTTCAGGCCCGTCTCCTTCTCCAGCTGCGGCTTCTGTTGCACTGCGCAGAGACAAAAGCAGAGGAGGTGTGAGGATGACAAAGTAGCAGATTTTTCACTTCCCCAAGGCTAGAACAAGTGGAACCGAGAAATGATGCAAGGGATGTAGCGGCGTGAGTCAGATGTCAAACTGGTCAGAGAAAATGGCCGCCCACACAGCTCGATGGATGGAGAGTGGTGAAAAGTGCAGGGGCAGATGGTTGTGTGGCAGCTGACAGTGGCAGTGGGGCGACAGGTGTGCCTAGCTCTGACATGTTGTGTGCTTTATAGGTTTATAATAAGAGAAAATATGGGTGTCTTGAGCCAATAAACAGGTACCTTCACTGCAACAATTCCTGTTTGGACTCAAGGTGAACTATAGAATTGGATGGCGCATAGTTTGGACCATGGAATATTCTTAAACTTTTGTGTGTTTTATAAACAGAAATAAATACAAAATTTCTCTGTTGAGGCAACCACATTAGCTGTAAGGATAGGGATGATGCAGCAATGTCATGAAAAAATATCAAATGTACCAGGTAAAAGTACAATTGTGTCATCTGTTTTCTTTTCTATGGGCCATGAGTATCAATCGAGTATCAAATATTGATAAAGGCACTTTTATAGGTTGGAGATGGAGAAAACAAAGTAATGGTGCCTCATTAGCTGAAGTGTGCAGTACACCATTGTAACATGCAAAACAACACCAGAGTAAAAATATTTATGTAATATGTCTATATATAATTCATTAAAATGTTTATAACTAGTTAGTTTAACAGACATCTCTTCTAAAGGAGCTTTGTATGGCCTGTGTATGATGCTCCTTAAAACACACATCTAAACATTTATTCAACTCAACTTCTGATGTGGTGTATCAGATTAAAAGGTAAAGCAATTATAAACACTTTTTTAAAACTGAGAGGGCTATCACATCCAAAGCAGTGACCAAAATTAATTTGTAAAATGTGTGTGTAAACTACTGTGGGTAGTTGACTGTATTTGCAGAATGAGATGTGATGTGTCCAAAGGCATTAGCTTTAGCCTGCTCAGGATGATCATAAAACACAGGGAGATTCACAGCACAATAGCTTGAGCTCCTGCCTTTTGTTCTAGCGGTAATTAATACAGCACCCAAGTCTGATCCACTCTCTAGATCTATTGATCTAATCAAATATGGCATTCTATTTCCACAGCTTTGTTTCTCATGCAAATCCTACCAAAGTAAGGCGTTTCATATCCATCGTCCAGGATCACACACTGCGTCGTCCGCGCCTTACTTTGATGGAAACATTTATATTGCAAAACAAAATCAAAGAGGTCTTAATAGATTACACTAAATTATGGAATGAAAGGGAAAAATGAGGCATGATTTTCATTTGGTTAGCATGTGAATGTGATTGGCGACGCTGAAAGGGAAAAAGAAAAGTGCGAGTTAGGTCCTTTAAATCCCATTTCCTCAGATGAAGGCTATGCAAATGACCCTGAAGAGCTGAACCCCACCTCTCACTCCAAACGCAGCCAGGGCCCGTTTAATTAGTATTTTAATCTATCCCAATGATTCCACTCAGTCCACAATGTATGCAGCATTCTGTCTAATTAAGCGCACTACTTTTGGGGACGCCCATCCGTCTCTGACCTGCTCCTCTCCTCTGCTTATTACAGCCGCTGCAAGCACTGATGACTCTATTTTGTCGCCAACTCAAATGGTTACATTGGTTATACTTTACATGTCAGCCAGAGTTCCTACAGTGGACGGAAGAGAGCTAAAGGTCAAATATACGTCCTGAGTCTACCCCATAGAAGGGGAAAGTATAGTCTTTTCCCATTAGCCAAAGACTTCAACTGAAATAGTGCCAAGAAGATCATTTTCATTTCATGTTTCCACTTCTGTATTTAGTCATAGCCATATCAAAGCTCTATAGTTAGCTACTGTACCTGCTATTTGGGAAGGGGGGGGTAATGAGCAAGGTAATTGGCCCAGCTGGGTGAGAGCGGAGGTGTGGAGGGAGCCAAGTCGCTAAAAGGTCACAGCACCGTTTGGTTCTAATGAGGACCCCACTTGGGTTGCAACACGTGACGAGCAAAAACGACCCGAGATTAGCCTGAAATCAGCGCGCACTGCTAACATTTGAGTGACAAGCAGACTCTCGGAGACTCGCGGAGGAACCAGCGCGGCCTGAAGGTCAGTATTTACTTGTGAATCAAAGCTGAGGACTCTCCAATCAACCTGAGGGGAATGACAGTCCCACAACAGCCACTTTAAATGTAAATACAATGTACTTGCCGAGCTCATTAACTGCCCACTAGATGGATGTGTCCAGAATACAGCGGTGAATGGATTGCTTGTTCTGTCACTGTACAGATAACAGCCCACAGCCTCTCTTTTCGGTCGTCCCCTTGTACAAACCTCCCACTGGAGCGCTTCTCTCTCTCTATCCCTCACTCTAACACACACTCGTCCTGATTTTCTAAGCTTCAAATTAGCCACCAAATACTCCTGACAGACTGTGGAAAAGAGATGTCAGCTTTGATTTCAGAGTGCCTCCTCCGGCCATTTTAATAGGCATTGTCTGAGTCTATCCAGTGCAATCGCTAATATCGAGATCTGATCCTCGCAGCCTTATTTGATCTGCCGGGTTTCCGAGTCGCATCGAACTCCATCATCTCGTGTTCACCGACTGAGGAGAAGAGGCAAGCCACAGGATTGTACTGGGTGTTAAAAACCTGCTACATGTACATCACTCATAAATCAAAACCAAGTATTACACAATCAAATGAAAAAGCGCAGAATCTCTAAGCAGTATGCAGTCCATTGAAACACAGAATAAGACAAAGGTAAAGGATATCTAAGCTGCAATGTTGCCAGTAAACTTGCCATGGGGTGACAACCTGTTCCTTTTTTGATTGTCCTGCACAGTTTGACCCCTTCCCTTGTCACACAGAGAATGTCCTCCTTTTTCATTGATTCCACTTGAATTATAAAATAATAATGCATTTATTTTATATAACGCTTTTCCAGACACTCAAAGTTGCTTTATAATTTAGTGTTTTATTCATTCATTACATAACCGGTGGTGGTAAGCTAATATTGTAGCCACAGCTGCCCTGGGGCAGACTGATGGAAGCAAGACTACCAATCTGTGCCATCGAACACCACCAACATTAACGCACACAAAACATTCAGACTAAATAATAAAAAGTGAGCTCTACATACTTGATAAATGTATTTTTTTCTCATATAAAGACCTTTTGTGTGTGCTGGCTTTCAGATTTGTAATATGTTGGCACCTATTGGTATTTTTGAGATGTAGAATGTGATGATGTAATACTCTCAGATGGGAAGCCATAGCCAGTATTTCCTATTGATTACGTTATGCTTTTAGTTGAAATATCCTAAAGGCAAAATCACAAATCTTGAACCTGATCATTTCCGTTACTGAACGGAACCTTGAACTTGCTGTATTCCAACAAAAATCAAAATTGTAACAATACTGATTTTAGCTACCTCTCATCGGTATTAAATATTATTGTCCAGTAGAATGATGTGATGTGATGGCATGTGAAAACCAGCAATTGCTATTTCAATCTCTCTGTCCGTCATGGCTTTAAACAACGTTTTCCTCTTTTTCTTCAATTTGAGGAGGCCACCCTACTTTTACCGACATATTCCCATTAAGGGCTAAGCACTGTGTAGGCTATGCTAAAACACAAACCATATTAACCATATCTCCAACCCCCTCGCCCCTAAAATGTCATATTATTTGGGCCCTACTGCACCCAACAGTACCAGAACTGCCTTCACTGTAATAGTAAAAGGTACATTGAAATATTATGTACACCATGTTGAACTCAAGTGGACCCACGGACTTGCTTGTATTTCATTTACAGGCACAAATATACAGCAATATTTCATGGTCCAAAAGTTTCCATTCATTGTTTTGTGATGTGCAGTTCAATAGGCATTCTTCATCACATCAGACACAGCTCGTATTGTGGCTCAAACATTAGATGAAAGTAGGAGCAAGGGTACATTCTACTGCTTTATGCTCCATCAGACATAATTTACAGCCCACTACAAGCTTCATAATAACACTGGCTTTATGTAGTCACCACATGTACATGCTCAAGAGTAATATGCTCAGATTAAAGCCACGCACATTGTGTTGTGTAAAGCATCAGAGAAACTCATCAAGCGCCCACTGAACAAGGGGAAAAAGGCCACTCCAATCACCCATCTAAGAAGAATTTCCAAACACCACTGCTGCTGCTCGGCGTGCGCATTAATGAGACATAATGCATCCAAACGCCATAAACAAACATTTAAGCTTGATTTTATGTGACCTTTGAATCGCTCCCTGTATATGTATTTCCACAAAATGCTGCTGTCATGGGGGTAATTTGATTGAAATGTGAATTTTCTTGCTGCCATCTGCCAAAACTACACCAATGATGAAATTGTCATAGTTAATCAATTTGCAGTCTGCAACCATCATTGCCACACAACACTACACAGAATAGGAAACATGGTTTATTAGCAAATACTTAGTATTATATTTTATTTTAATTTTCCTTACGCACAAGTGTTCATGACTGTAAATAAAATTTCCTATGTATTGCCATTAAAGATGAATGAGATTAGATTCAGGAAAAAAAAAAAGATAGAAAAAGAAAATAAGATTGATCCCTGCTCATCTCTCCACTCCCCAGTCTGTCAGTACTTCCGGCATAGAGCAGGCATGCAGTTGCCTTTTGACCAAGTGAGTGTCTGTAGTTGACAAAATGCATATTTCACTAGCAGCTGATTGATCTGTTAATACTGAATAACATTCACATGCATGGCATCTATCTCTGCAGGCCCCCTCCTCTTTCCACTGCTCCTCAGGTCGTCTATTCAAGCACTTCTCTCCCTCCATCCGTCACTCCAGCCAAACAAAATGAAAGTGTTTATTGTGGAGGAGGGCTGACGCTCACGCCTCTCCACAGCCGTTAGCCTTATCAGCAGGCAATCGGCGCGATATTAAAG